ATACATATGTATGTATGTACATACCTACATGTGTTCGCCTGAGTTTGCAGCTGTATGCGAGTGTGGGAGGCTTGCGTGGCAGCAAAACTCAGCGCCGGCATCATTCAACTAACAAAACTACAGACCCATTCACAAATACATTCATAGCTGCCACCATTCCTATTAGCACCATAATGGACGTTTGAACTAAACGAGCACACAGCCGTCGAACCACTTAACCGACCGATAGCCAAGCCGATACCCAGAGCCAAACACAGCCATCCATAAAAAAAAACAACAACAACAAAACTAAAACGAATATAAGGCGAGTCGCAAACAATTTATAGTACATATAAGTAAAAACAGCGTCAAGCGCAAATGAAATTCGAATTTAACCAAACCTAAAAACCTAAATGTTTGTATTGAAATTGAAAATACCAGCAAATCCAACGAAATGGAACCAATGGAAAAGAGGAGAAGCACAGAGAGAGAGAGAGAGAGAGAGACCCCTTGAAAATGAGGTGAACTGAGTATTGAGGCTGTTATCCGATTTTGTTTGTTGGTATGCTTATGGGTGTGTGTGTGCGCCTACATATTTGCGGCTACCGTCGAGTTTACTGACCGCAAATGCAATTTACTTCTCGATCATCAATGAAATGTACTCGAACTAAGCAATAATGGGCAGCAAAATGACCATAAAGCAGCGCCACCAACTAGTTGAATAGCTGAATAGAAAATAGATGCCTGAATGCATTCCAAAAGCAGAGGGCGCTTACTGTTTAGATTTTTTTTTTTTTTTAATTAATTCATTTTTGTTTTCCTTTTTTTGCGAGTGCGGTGCACGCAATTAAAATTTCCAACAGGCGCAGTCGGAATTTTGTAATGAAAAGTTTGGTGATGAAAACAACGACGATCCTTTCGGCATGCACACCTATGTACGAGCTTGTGACCTGTGAAGACAGTCGTGAATTTGTAGAGATTTTCCCTGCTCACCTCAAACAGAGCCCTAGTTTTGAGTGGACCGCATTACTAATTCTTCGTATACCATACTGAACAGCTACACTTATGCTGCAGTTGAGTTTTCTATTAGTTTCACAAATAGAGGCTTCCATGTCCACTGCAGAGAGTAACAAAAGTTCAGAGCCGCACCTCGCTAGTGTTGCCACTGGCCACCACTGGCCACCAGACTAGTACATACGACGGTTAAATGATAGATAGCCTAGATTACTTCATAACATCAGTAGGTCGAAAAATTACTACGCGATCTCAAAAATTATTAAAAGATTTACCCAGCGAATGGTAGCATCACCCAGAGACATGCCTCAGTTCGTCAAATAATTGCTATAATCGCTACAGAGTCTGTAAGTTGTCAGCTATTACATCCGCCCGACAAGGAGTAGTATACATGTTACATGGACCGCCAGTCAATCCATTACAGAACTTTCAATGGATAAAATCACTACCAGTCTGACGAATTTAAATCATTTAGTTATATACCGTTGGTCCAGAAAGAAATTAAAGTTGATTAAGGAAAAAATCGGCCCTATTATGGTTGTCGACTTCGACGTGGATGTAATTTTTTCATAAAAAAAATAGCCTAAGATTATCTTTATTTTTAAATGGAATTATGATCGCTTCTTCTGAGCCCGAAGTAGTGGTGGGCGGGCAAAACCGGGCTTTAACGACCACTAAAAAGCCGATGGTAGGGTGGGTAAAGAAAGCATTGTCGTGGGGATGCATCTTCCGATTATTATTACTTTTTTTTTTTTGTTTATACAACGTTTTTTGGAAGATTTTCTGTATTTGCGAAGGTCACGAGTTTTATCGGGAGTGTCACGAAAAAGGATTATGGTCCCATCCCGCCCGCAAAATTTTTAAAGACCTTCCCGATACTGCCCATCCCGGCCATTTTGAAATCAGTACGGTGGGTCCCGCGGGTCCCATTATCCCGCGTCCATCTCCCGCGTCCCAAAGAGATGGTAGAAAACGAATGTATTTATGTACTCAGATGTACAGTGTACAAAAATACATACATATATGTACATATGTATAATAGCAAACATATCAGAAGCCAAGTCATTATTTTGAAGCAAATGAACAATCAAGGCCATGATATGTTTATTTGTTTTATTGAATGCTAGTCCAGAAGCCATACCACACTACATAGTGCTGTTCATGTGAAACATATTTTATGAAAAAATTTCTAATAGCATTTATTTGTGGCATTTGATTTTATTATTTTATTTTTGCTCTGTCAAATAAGCTTACCGATTGGGACTTTCATTTGCTGCCATATGTCAATCAAATCAATTAAATTGTTACAAGCAAGACGACCGACCAGTATTCCACAAAAACCAAATAAAATAAAATTTGGCTACTTATGCATACTTACATACATACATACAACTACGCACTAGGAAAGATAAAAAATCTGGCAATAGTGCAATAAATGCATTTTTGCATATGTACATGTGTATGTTAGCAACTTTTTGCCGCAACCTTTTAAATGGACTTAAACTTTTCTATTTACACAACAGTATAACAGATTTTTTCGGACATTTCAATGAACAACACTTTTACATTTATTATACTCGAATATTTAACCAACTGCATGGGTTTATTATTTTAGTGTGGTAGTTATGAAAGTTTTTAAAATGGATAACAATTGCCTGCTGAGTGCCTTTCAACCAAAGTGGATTTAGTGCACACATTTCAGGGTGAAAAAAGAAAAACATTTAAAAATATTTTTTTTAAATGAAACTTTGAATAACTGCATTTTTTATTACTTTGTAATTTTAATGGTACTTTTGAGCTCAAATAGTGCCAAATTTTATTTACTTAGAAATGCGTGTTTTTTTTTGTTTTTTTACTTTTCATGCCGTGCTGCTAGTTTTTCATTCGTTCATAAAGCGTAATATTTGCTGCTTGAAATTAAAAACCAACATTTTTAAAAGCTTGGTGGTGCACACATGTGGAGTGATGTGTGCAAATACATAAATAAATGCATATGTATTTATTTTTTACACGATTTTAAGCTTTTTTTTTAATTTGTACCATTTGGAAACAGCTTTGAGAATGCTTATGCGCTAGAAGAGCTCGAGTAATTGCAGGTGCATAAACGCACAAACATACATATATACATACCTTGAAGTTTTGATGTAATATTTTCATACATATGTACCTACATTCGGCGGAAAGGAAATTTTTCTTTTTAATTACAACATTAGCAACAACGAAAGCTAAGTTAGGTTGGTTCAGGTTGGAATGATTGGAGAGTAGATTCTTCAAATATATTCGGAGACCTTTAGTATACGATACGCAGGCTCGTTGTGATGCCATATAGAGTTACCAACGCCTGTCGAAGATAAAAAGCTCATTAGGGTACAAGCAACATTGTAGACGTTATGCACTTTGCCAAAGTTTTTATATGCCCTTGAAAGGGCTTACAACTGCGGCAATGCTTTCGAGCCCTGGCCACTTTCGTTATGTGATCTCTTAAAACTGTTTAAAGGTGTCCATGCACCCGCATTAATTAAATTCTGTAATTCTGGGTCATTTAATTCAATCTACGGCATTCAGTGATGGACTTTGCGCTGTTTTCGTGTGGTGAGTATAATGCTCTCAAGGTCGCCTATCGGCCAAGGAAGGTAAAGTCTTGTTTACTATCTGTATGTCTTTGAGCATGCTGCCGCCTGGATGACCCACGATTCAACTTGGTGCAGAGAACTTAAAAAAATGTAAAAAAACTAGTGCAAACGGCTTCGTGGAAATCTATAGGCGTTTGTTTTTTTTTTGAAATCTTGATTTTTCGAATATCGAACAAACCGTTTTTTTTTTTTTAATTCAAACAAATCTTGACCTCTGAATAAAACTTTTGGGTTTTCGGAAGCTTTGCAGTTCAAGGGAAACCTTGTAAATAGCTTCGAAAATATTTGATTCCAATAAACGAATGCTTAGCACTTAAACGCTTTGTACGTGTTTGGCTGAGCTTTACATTCGTGTTCTCCTTTTTTATGGCAGTAATACACTTGTAGGTTTGCCATTGTCTGCCGAGGGGCGACAGCTGTTGCAAAAAACTTGCGTTGATGTTGCTGGAACCAGAAATTGAATCAGGGATCTTCCGAGTGGCGGTAGGCACACTCGGCTACAGAAAAAATGCAATAAAGTATTAAAAAAGACCAAACCTGAATTTTTCACAGATTTTTATTTGTTCGAATTTTGATATTACTTACTTTGCTTTACTCTTTTATTAGTAAAAGCCTCCTCCAATTTATGGCGTGCGCCTTGACGTTGTCACACAAAGGGGAGGGACCTACACTTTTTTCGCAGCCGAGGGGCGACCGCTGTAAAGAAAACATCTTTTTCTATTTTTCTCTTTCTTACCACTACACCACAGCGGCCGCTTAGCTATATAGCTATATTTACTATTAATAGTTTAGTTGTGGTTTTTGGTCATGACTTCATACCAAGATAAGCATTTATCCGGTTTTTTCTTAATTTCAAAATCGGCAACCGGTTTTTTTCAAATTGCAATTTTTTTATTAACGCGAAAACTAGTTTCGGGAAATGGCGAATAATCGAATACCCTACCATCTACGCTAGGTCTATCTCAGGGATTTCCTTATCGACCCTGTAAACTTGAGACTCGGAAACCTGAATGCCAGCATAAGCGAAAGAAGTGGGTGGAGCACTTGGTATGGTACCTCCAATAGCTGATATATGCTAAAAAATTTTGGCCAGTGGGAAACCAGCTCGCTTAAGTCCTTAAGCTCCTTGCTACGCATAAATAGAGCTTCCGAAAGGTACACAGCACCACCACAGCCTATGAAACCTCGCAGCGTTAACCAAAACCACCTCTGAGAGAAAGCTGTCCAACTATGGCCGAAAGCCGTCAACGATGCCGACATTCCACCCTAGTAGAGGACATTGAGGCGTCGTCGAATTATTTGAGGGGTACTTTGTCGAACTCAAACTTACCTCAGTCACCAGAGGTAGTTTCACTGATCTTATTCACTCTGTTTTCGCATTATTTTTGAATGCTTTGTATCGTATCGATTCCTTTAAATTTTTTTTACATTTTGGAATGGTTTGCTTACATACTATATATATATATAACTTCCAAAATATCTAGGAACTATGTATTATTTAAACAGGAATATATTAAAGTAAGGTGATATTAAGGCCTCTTCTCCTCACTAAGCATTCGATTCAGCATCAGCCGTGCCCTGGCTCTCCGACGCGGGTGCGTCCGGCTTATCCTCCTCTGTTGAACCAAATATGCAACAAGGACATTTCTCCTTTAGCACTAAACGGTACTTGGGATGACTATAATTACAATAATGTTAAAATGAATTACCGCCACTTGCCAAACATTTATAAATTATGTAGGCATTTAGTCTCATTCACCTGATTCCGTACACAATTGGATTACAAGCCGCACCCGTTTTTGCAAATGTCGCTCCCCAAATCGTACTCAGCGGCGTCATTCCTTCCACTCCAAAGAAGCCGCAATAGCAAATGATTACATAAGGTGTCCATGACATAAACCACAAAGCGATTGTGGTCAACGCCACTTTGGCCAACTTCGCCTCGGTGCTCTTCTCGCAATCCCTTGAGGAGCGTAGCGATTTAACGTTCATTTTCTTCGCCTGTTCGCTCATTGCTTTTTCGTGTGCCGCCACAGCGTCAATAATAAACCAATAAGAATAGCAAATGAGGAAGAGTGGCGTGAAGTAGACCAGCGATGAATAGATGAGCAGATAGGAGCGTGGATTCCAGTCGCGCGTCATGTAGTCAATGGTGCATGCCGTCAAGTTGCCTTCAGGCACATATCTGTGAGTGTAGAGACGGAAAATTCATAAAATGGAAATTTAAATGTACTCCACAACATGCGTAGGTAGCTCTTACCTGCTCCAACCGAGCAATGGTAGCAGCGTCCAAAATGTTGCGAACATCCAAATGCCGCTAATTTTCCTGACCGCTAATTTAGTTGTCATTGGGCGGCCTGACACACCCTTCACTATGACATTGTAGCGATCCAGCGCAATCATACACATCGACCAAATAGACACACAGCCGAACATAGAGCCGCAGATGGAATAAATGTCACACCACAGCGGTCCCAATATCCACGTCTCATAGTAAAAATTGATGATCATAACAGGCGCTTGCGACACCATCATACAGAAGTCGGAGAAGGCCAAGTTCAGTACGAGCAGGTTGGCGGGTGTGCGCAGTGATTTAGCACTGCCAAATATGTAGACCACAACGCCATTGCCAAAGGAGGAGAAGAGCAGGAGGATGAGTGTGTAAATACCCAAAACTTGACTCATTGTTGAATTCATTGGGGGGAATTTGCTCCAATACGGGTTGACGAGGTGAGCCATGTCGGGGGTAACCTGCGAAAAAGTAGGAATGAAATATAGCACATTTAATTCTAATCATT